CCTTCTATCTTGAAGTCATTTGTCAGGACCCGACCATTTCAAGATACAAGGTTTTTCTGTATAACTATTTGCCAATGGGTTATAACTATGGCTATACCTACGTGTGATTTACTCGACAATCAATTGTTTTTGTTTGCATTTAAAATGCATAACAAACGCAAATTTTTCTGATAAATGTTGTCCTAATGTTAAGGATGTTATGCTTTAAATGTGATATAAAATATATGTTTTATAAATATTTTAATATTTGCTTAATTTTAAGTAATCTTGAACTAGAAACTTTAATATAAAGTTTAATATAAACTTTATATACAATCATAATAATTGTATGGATTAAATAAATTTGTATTGAACTAATACTGTATATGGGCAACACGTAATTTAGCCTGGAACAATTTAATAATTGCCTATTTTATATGTGTTTAATTTTATTCAATAAAATAATATTAATTATAATAGCTGTACATTTAAGTAAAAATTATATGTTGTTTATTTTGATTAATAAAATTTTTAATTATTTAAACTGTCTATTTGTTTGGATTATTTAAGTTTTATTAAATAAATTTATCTAGCACTGATGATATTAGTATAATTCACATTGGGTGAGGGTAGGGTGTAAGTGTGATAGGATAGACACATCTGGCACATATAAATCACCATATTTCCCACGCGCACATAAATGTCTAGGGCTAGAAATGGACCTTGACATTGAAATAAACATAAAATATTCTGCACATGATTCTTTCAAGAATCAAAGTCTATTTATATAACAAACCCAGAGTTTTAGGGAGTGGTCCGTACTGTACATACTGTGGTCTGTCTGTGTTGTTGACACACATGCTTTTATAATGCAATTTGGATTCAACTCACTGTACAATCCCAGACATACACAGACTTAACATCAAGTATTGATTTGTATGGCTTTTATTGCGTTAAATGTCTGAACAATATTTTTTATAAAAATTAAAATATTTCAATATATGACTGCAATTTTATATTAAATTTGTTGGTGACATTATTTATTAGGGTATTTATATAATACCCTAGTAAAATATTCCTTCCAATATTCCTTGATCACTCTAAAACAGAAGTTGTGTAAACATAAAATACTTAATAATATTACAAATATTTTACAAGAATATTCTATATACATATAATTTACTTATAGATAATACTATAAATCTAATTAATTAATATAATAACACCAAGCAACAAACAACTCACAAAACAACCACAATGAAAGGCGAACCAATGGTGATGAACGGCGGTTATGGTGGCGGCAACAATGACCGGGAACAGGACACTTGTTTCCGGTGCGTGAAAATCATCCTGATCGTTTTCCATTCGCTGGCTCTGATTGGTCTGGTCATACTTGCGGTCATATTTTTTGTCGCACTAATGGCTATCTCTAACGCCAACGATAAAAATAAGACAAAGTACGATGACTACTATCCGCCAAACACTGGTACCATCGATACACCAAACAATGAACAAATGAGTAAGTGTCACATTAAACACTAGTTTATTTTTAATACAAGCACGGTCAATTAGAAATATATTATGCTTAAATTATAAATTCCCACATAATAAGAATCCTGTTAAACACTGGTTTAATTGACCATCGTGATATTTATATTATTTGTAAATTTCTAATTGTTTTTTTTGTATCGTGAATGTTATATTAATTTTTTATCATGGTTATTAATAGAAACGATGGGCACCTTTATGGGTATATTCGTGTCGCTGGCCCTCATCTTTGAGATTATTGTGCTAATAGGCATAATCAAGGAGAACAAAACGATCGTGTTCGTCTACCTGGTGCTGGGCATCATCGGCACCATACAGAATATGATGTATGGCGTGGCCGCCGGTCTGTTGAGCACCGTTATGGTCGCACTCACCGCCTATTTTGCGTATATGATTGTCAAACGCGACCGTCAGATGGTTTAAAACAACGAGTTTGTGATGTCTATGATTATTATGAGTTATTGCAGCTAGTTTACAATTTACGTGTATTTTTGTTTGTGGGATCAATATTTAACATAATGATAAATTCAAAATTTATCTTATTTTGTATAGTTTTCAATTTATATACAGTATTTTCATTCTCTCTCTCTCTCTCTCTCTCTCTCTTAATTGTGTTACAAATTATAATTATTTAGCATTTATTCCAATTTACTTAAATCTCAATATTGTTATACAGTATAATGTACTCATATTTTTGCGAAACAAATACTAAATGAACAAAATATTGTTAATATTTTTATTGCTTGATAAAACTATTGCTATATTTTTAAACAAAAAACTACAATATATTTATGACTTATAAAATAGTAATTTTATGAACAACTTTATTCAATGAAAAGTATATAATGTTTGTATATTTATTATACTTTATAATCCCAACTATTGTACTGATTGAATGGCTTTATACAAAATGACAATTATATTTTGCAACTTTTAAAATATTAGTAGCATTATTTTAATAAATAAAATCAATGTGATTTATTTTTGAACAAACAATAAAATTCAAAATGAAAAACACAATTTACTTTTTTAATTCAAACTTTACATGCATTTAATTAAAAAATACAACATTTATAAGGGTTTCCAACGCTTACATCCTTTGAGAGGAAAATAATATTTCAAACCAAACGCCAGTTATATTAATAGTGTGTGTTTCGAGGCGTTTGATTAATGCCATACACATGGTATGTAATTTAGGGAAATCACCAGGGTAAGTTTGTCTAATTACGTAATATAATTAATGTACAAGGCAAAACTTACATTCAATAGTTTATTATAAAGATTTAATCAGTTATTTAATAATGAATTTCAATGCCATTTTAATCATGGCTATTAACTAATCAATACATTTATTATTATTAATTACTCGATTGTAATATACAGTAATTGTATTGTTGGTCATTCCTGGAAATCCCTGTAATATAAAACTGCTCGATAAGAATAGAAATGCTAAAATATGAATGAAAATAATATTTGTAAAACAATACATTTAATATATAACAGTTATAATTCTAAGAATCGCCTCATTATGTTGTATTGAATATCCAGACATCCATACAAAACAAACAAGTTGTAAAGTAATGGAGGCAAATAATACTGGGTTAAAATGCCTAAAAATTACCCTCATCATTCTTCACACCATAGTGTCGGTAATATTGTTGGCCGGGATTATCAGTATAATTGTCTTTATGCTGACCTACAAGGACTCCGGCGACCAGAATCCGATCGAAACGAGTTGAGTATAAAATTTAATTTTTAAAAACAATTTAACCATAATGTTAATTAATTAAATTAAAAATTGTTTAAGTTAAAAGTTTAAATTTAAATCTTTAAATAACCATAAGCATTTATAAAATACTATCTCAACTACATAGGAAAGCATCTGATCGTGGGCGAAATGGGACTGGCATTGGCCTTTTGTCTGGAGCTGTTGGGTCTGTACGGGTGCTATCGGGAGTGTAAAAACAGCTTGATAGTCTACTTGGCCCTCACACTGGTGTCGATGGGACCGGGATTTATATTTATGCCAATTTACACGCTGTGTTCGTCAGTGTTTTTGTTGATCACTACACTATATGTGTATTTAATATTTCGCCGCAATCGACACAATCATATTTATATTAATTATCTTAAGCTTTAAAATAATAATTTTGTTGTAAAACTTTTATCTTGGTTATAAAATATTAAAATAGTATTTATATTAAGTGTTAGCGAGAGAGAGAGAGAGAGAGAGAGAGAGAATGAAAATACTGTATATAAATTGAAAACTATACAAAATAAGATAAATTTTGAATTTATCATTATGTTAAATATTGATCCCACAAACAAAAATACACGTAA